TCTCTGTTGCCATACTGGTCCTCTGGACACCTCACACATTTTTCCACATCTGATGGAGAAAGGAAAGTATGATTAATGCAGCTTTAGCCATTTATTGACTGGATATTTCAATTGAATGTGCTGAAGAAGCATTGCACTATCTGCATTTGTTTCTGAGGATGGAGTGGAAGGACATTGCTGAATAACAATGCTTCCATTTCATAATGCTCATTCATTATCTTTATGGGGAATGAAACCATCATACCATGTATTGTCTAATTTAAGGTGTGTTGATGATGTCATTTGTTATGTTATCAGAAAGCACAGATATTTTCAGTACATGACTTAAACTGGTGAATTGACAGAGGGTAAAATCAGTAACCATTATTTTGCACAGAGTGTATTTTAAAGTCTCAGATCCCATGGTTGTAGTGCCTCCTGATGTCTTTCTGCCTTTTTATTTATGTTCTTCCTATAGTAGATGGGGCCTTTGTCTTCTATTGGGACACTTTCTGTGATATTTTTTCTAGTTTGAATTTACTAGACCAAACCCATTGACATAGAAGAAATACTAAACATAATCTGTAGGGACACTTAGAATTCACACACGGCATGCCAACACAAGGTAGATTTATTTGACCCAAAGAATAATGAGAAGGGAATAGGAGACAATAACAGGAGATACAGAATGAAGGAGAAGAGGAGAACAATAAGAAAGAGGGGGAAGAAGTTTTTGGCCATGGAGGACAAAAAACTGCTCTGGATAAAGAAGACATAGACATGGCCTCTTGGAAAATGACAGCTTATAAAGATAAAAGGGAAATCTCTGGTTAGGCTGAAGTGTTTAATTTTGATTGGACAGTTTAATTAGGACAGACACAACAGAGTTTTTGGAAGCTGGACTTCAATTCTTTGAATGCTGAACATTATTTGTCAGCCTCAGGAGGAGGAAGTGCCCAAATAAGGGAATAGACGTTGGTGACTAGATTTAGGAATATAATAGCCTTAGTTAGCATTTCTATTGCTGTGAAGAGAACCGTGACCTCAGTAGCTCTTACAAAGGAAAACATTTGATTTAGTGGCTTATAGTTCAAAGGCACAGTCCATTATCATCATGAGGGGACATGGTGCTATGCATGCAAACAAAGTTCTGGAGAAGAAGCTGAATATTTTACATCTTTAATCCATAGGCAACAGGAAGAAAAACCTCTCACTTGGTATGGCTTAAGCATATAAGAGGCCTCAAAGTCTTCATCCACAGTGGCACAAATCCCCCAATAAGACCACACATTCTCCAACAAGACCACACCCTCAAATATGGCCAATTTCATTCAAACTATCACTTTATTCTCATGATTTTTTAGCAAGGCAAAGAAAGGGAATGGGGAAGAAAGGTAGGGCTTGCTAGAGCCATATTTTCATGCTTATTGTAAATAAAGTTCCTTCATAATTAGTAAGTTGTGTGTGTATGTGTATGTTTGTACATGCAAAAGTAACAACAGAGCTCTAATATGAGAGTGATTGAGTTTATATGGGAAGCAGGAGGGTGAGAGTAAAAGAAGTATGTTACATAAATATAATTTTTATGTTTATAAATGCAAAAATAATAAATCAAAAAAATCTGTCCCCAGTTGTGTCCTTATCTGGAAGTAGTGACAGTTTGTCCCAGAGTCTTGTTCATAAGAAACACTAACCCCCACTGAAGGCAGAAACCTCTATATATACTTAGCATTAACAAGCCTTTCTTCCTGATTTTATCACCTTTGGGAACAGACCACCACCTTTCTTCCTCTTTCACTAATTTCCATCTATGAGAGTCTCAGATTTTGTGAGTTTACTAAAGTGCTAAGTAGATATTGGTATAATACCATGATCACAATAAAAGAAGAACACTCAAGCAAGAGTGATAGGACAGAGGTTTGTTTGGAGGAATAATATCCTGTCCATAAGTTGCAGTCTCCACCATGGAAAGTTTAAGAAACTTAAGTAAAATTGCTCTGAATCATTGGACAATTGCATAGCGTCATGATGTACTTCTAGGTTTCAAGTCTTTTTATCTAGAACAATGCATTTATAGACACATGTACCTAGTTATATTTTTAAGGAATAGAAATTGTTCTCAGTAGTTAAGAGAATATACTGCTCTTGCAGAAGAACTGAATTCAGGTCTAAAGACCCATGTCAGGTGTCTCACATCTGACTGTAACTCTAACTACAGGGTCCTTGGATACCTCTCACATGCACATGCAATAGTTTACACATAACCACCCATTTCACATATATATAAGTATATATGTATATATATACATAATTAAATAATAAAAATATTTTCTTTAATTTTTGATGTATTTATGATTGTAAATACCATTTATTCTTATATGTTTCATATGTAAAACAATTTCTTTAGAGTTGATTTAAGTAAATTGTGGTAAATTGTATGCGCAAATGCATAGGGATCAGAACACAAAATTTAAGACTTGGCACCATCTTTCTATTACATGGGTCCAAGGGATGAACTCATCATCAGCTTTAGTGGAAATGGATTTAACTTCTGATCTGTTTTACTGGCCATAAATGTTCTTTAATAACTTTCATTATATACGATGATACGCAATAGGATAGAAAACGTAAGTATCTGCCATTGTTATATAATCAACTCTAAATAATCATTTGACTAACATGGGCTATGTAGGTGTCAACACCATTTGGATAACTGTAGCTAGTTGCTATCATTCAAAACCATTGTGTCTTCTACTTTTTACTTTATTAACTCTGCTATATATAAAAATACTGATTATAGTACTCCATATTTTCTACTTTATGTGGGAACAATTCTCCACACTCCTCTAGATTTCAAATCACAATGATACTTTGAAAGGGGGAATCTCTGGATATAGCTTGAAATCCTTTGTATCATACTCAACAGTTTCTTATAATTTCCGAAGAATTTGTTTCCAGTCTTCATTAATCTTGCAGAGACAGAGGGCTTATATTTGGTTTCTTGAACCCACATAGCATTGTTCAAGGGATCAGAAGCCCTATTCTGTTCTCCATTGATTCCCTGCACATTCATGGTGCCTATCAACTTATAAACTTATGTAGTGACACAAACATGTAAATATAAAAAATAAATATTTATAAAGTTTCAGCATTAGAATCTAATCTACTTGTAATTTCAAAGGAGATTAGTCACTAGGAAAGACCTTCTATGGAATTCCCTCACATTGTGGTTTGATTATCAAAATTTCTATGACAATAGGCCACCTACCATGGATTTTCCATGAGTCAAAGATGTATGTCATGGCATAACATGTTACTTAAAGTGACATTGTTAATTATCATAGTCCTATCTCAACTAACTTGGGAAAGTGATATGGTTTATTTTTACAGACATCTTTTAGAACCTTTGATCATCCCAGTGTGTTTGGGAGAAGATGATCAATGTGAAGGATTGATCTCAACAGCAAACACTCACTTGTCTCATTAGAAACTTCATTTTCTGGGCAGGGGATGCAATCAAAACAGCAGGCTGCAATTCCCTCCTGCAAGAATTTTCTGAATCCAGGACCACAATCAGCACTGCACACAGAGGGTGGCATCTGAGGAAAATTAGACATATGATGATATCAGGAGTTTTACTTACTTCTTCCATAACAAAATTATATTAGTATGATGAAATATCAATAAGCTTATTTATATATACCAAATGAGTGACCACATTAAACTTAGTATATTTTATAATGCCAAACAAGCAAATGTGGTGGTATTGTGTTCCCCAAAATATTGTGCACCCTAATAAACTTATCTGGTGTCAGAGACAGAACATCCACAATACTAAAAATAGAGGATAGGCAGTGGTAGCACTCGCCTTTAATCCCAGCACTTGGGAGGCAGAGCTAGGCAGAAATCCATGTCTTCAAGGATACAGCCAAGCATGTTTACTCAAGCCGTTAATCCCAGAAAGCAAGCCTTTAATCTCAGGGCATGGTGGTAGAAAGCAGATAGATATATAAGGCATGAGGATCAGGAAAAAGAAGCATTTGACTGGTTAAGCATTTGGCTGGTTAAGCTTTTAGGTTTTGAGCAGCACAGTTCAGATGAGAGCCGTTCAGATATCAGGACACACAGGCTTTCAGTCTGAGGAAACAAGATCAGCTGAGAAGTTGGCCAGGTGAGGTTAGCTGTGGCTTTTTTTGTCTCTCTGATCTTCCAGTGTTCACTCCAATAACTGGCCTTAAGTTTGATTTTATTAATAAAAACTTTTAAGATTCATGCTACAAGCAAATGTATGGAAACAATCTGATGTAAGTTGAGTAGCTTCCCAATCTTAGAAATTTAGGAATAAGAAGTGGTTCTTTGCTGTGGGCAAACACCATAGAGGTTGCAAAGTGATTTGTCTAGTTAATTTCACCTTGACAGAAAGTACATTACAAAAGTTAGAGGTAAGTGTAACTAAAACATTTCTCTCCATTGAACTAGCCAACTGTCATATTATTTAGGCATTTTATTTCTGCATAATTGATGTATAAGTTCCCAGTCCACTGTGGGTAGTGCTGTCCCTAGGCAGGGCTGTAGGAGAAATCAACCAGAGCAAAGCAGTAGACAATGTTCCTTCAGGGTCTATACTTTAGTTGAAGGATCCAGATCCTTGCTTTGTCTTCCATTTACTGTAACCCATGAGCCTAATCAACCCTTACTCCTCAGTTTGCTTATGGTCAGTGTTTAATCATAGCAACAGTGCAACAAAGTAGGATAAATGGATATCAGAAACATGGGAAATATCTCTTCAAATCTCTGACAGCAAACATGACTCCATGACAAGCAGAATGTAAAGAGAATATCAGCTAAATAGGCAGAGACTGGTGTATTTCGGGTGACAAAGTGTTAAACTAATATGCATTGAACTGAAAGGTAGAATGTTTCCTGAGGTGAAAGGGCCTTATAATGACTGCAAATATTTGGAGAACTGGAATAAAGGTTAGATAGTTTAGGTTAATTATAGGATTTCTTAAAGTTTAAAATATAAAAGCGTTATACAATCAAAAACCTGATAATAGGTATCTATATACTGTTTAACACAGCTGCTGATGGTCAGGTGCCCACATGCCATCCTTTGTTGAGTATTGAGTTCTGTGTCAGAACCACAGTGTCTCCTATGCATGAGCTCTTTCATGTTCTCCACAATGTGATTAACTACAAATATTCCTTTTTGTTGTGGTTTTGTTTAAACAGGTTTTCACAATGTATTGTTGGTATATCTCTACTAACTATATATAGTAGATTAACTAAGATCACATAGAGATCTTCCTCTCCTGCCTCCCGAATGCTAGAATTTAAGGTGTAAGCTACATGTGGCCACATTTCTTTCCTTGTGTCTGTATTTCATGTTTACCATTTCTTTTTGTACTTGCTACGATATTAAGGATTATTTTGAAGATGAGTGGAGAAAATGTATCTTCTCATCCAATTTCTTTTTTATTCTTCATTAAATTATTTAATTTATTTGCCAACCACAGTTTCCCCTCCCTCCTCTTATCCAGTTCCCTCTCCACCATTCCTCTCTACTACAAAACCCACTCTTCAGAAAGGGTAAGGCCTTCCATGGGAGTCAACATAAAATGGAATACCAAGTTGAGGAAGGACCAACCTCCACCCACCTTCATCAAACTGTATGATTAATCCCACCATAGGGAATAGGTTTTAAAAAGACAGATTATGTGCCAATGACAGAACTTGGTCCCACTGCAAGGGAATACAAACAGACCAAGCTATACATTTATTACCCACATGCACAGGGATTAGGTAAGTCCCATGAAGGCTCCCTAGCTGTTGGTCTACATTCCTTCAGCTTCCACTACTCTGGTAAGCTGTCTCTGTGGGTTGTCCTGTCATAATCTGGACCCTACTTGTTCATATAATCTCTCCTTTATTCAACTGGACTCCCAGAGCTTGGCTCAGTGCTTGGCTGTGCATCTAATCATCTGCTTCCATAGTTACTAGATGAAGACTCCATGATACAATTAGGGAACTCACCATTATGATTATAGGAGAAGGTCCATTCAGGTACCCTCTCTCAGAATCTTAGCTGGGCCATTCTTGTAGAATCCTAGGTGTTTCTCTGGTACCAGGTTTCTCCCTATCCTCATAATGCCATAATTACCCCTTCTCTCAATATATATCATTCCTTAATCTCCCTCTCCATCCCTCCCTCAACTGGGACACCACAAAACCTCATGTCCCCAATGCTCAGTTTATCCAGGAGATTCCAGCAATTTCCCCTCCTAGGGTGATCCATGTGTCCCTCTTAGTGTCCTTTTTAACTTGCTTCTCTGGGGCTGTGGAGTGTTATCATGTGCTTTCCATCTTATGCTCAGTTAATGAGTGAGCACATACCATGTTTCTGAATCTGGGTCTTGGCTAACTCGCTCAGGATGATGGCCCTCATCCAAAGAATGGATAAAGGAAATGTGATACATTTACATAATTACTCAACAGCAAAAAACAATGACATCATGAAATTTTAAAGCAAGTGGAAGTAACTAGAATAAATTATCACTGTCTAACTTTTGCTCATTTCTTTTGAGGGAGGGTCTGTGTATGCAACCCTAGCTCACTTGGACTCATTATGTACACCGCACTGGCCATAAACTGAGAAGGTTTGCCTGCCTCTCCATCCATGAGTTTGATTATAGACATGCACCCCCACATACACCTGGCCTCACTAGGACTCTTATTGAAATTCTTTGAGTTTCTCTTCCTGTAGTATAATGTTGTCAATAAGATTGCCATAGGAAAAACTTCTTATGTGATTGGGCTGGGAAAATTATTTAATAAAAAAGAAAACTTCAATAAGTCAAGATGTGTTCCTTCTATTATGTTAGGTTTTTGTTTTTTTAACTTTTAAATCTGATTGGATACTGGACTTTGTTAAGAGCACATTCTGCACATATTTGGATAATCATGTAGTCCTATGCTTGAATCTATTTATGTGCCCCATTTACTTAGCTCACCTGCATATGCTGAACCATCCCTGTATCCCTGGAATGAAGATATATTTGTCACAGGGACAGAACTTTCTGTTGTGTTGTTGACTTATATTAGTCAGTGTTTATTTGAGAATTTTTCTACCATGTCTATCCAAGTGTTTAGTCTCTCATTTACTTTATTTTGTTGTACTTATTTAAAATTCTTTCCCTCCATATTTACAGAAGTAATCATTCTACATTTGTAAGTAAGGTTTGTTTTAGAAGAAAGAAGAAATGGTGGTTTGACAAAACAATCTTTTTGTTCATGTATTATGATTAGAGAATGTGAAGATTGACATTAATTTTGTATGTATAATAATTTGCTAATTATTGTCCATTTTTGTTATTGCAATATTTGATACAGTTTGATAACATTTCTTTTTCTATCTGATGTTGTAATGCTTGCTGTCTTTCTCTTCTTTGACCACTCATATTTATCTTACTTTTCAGTGTGTAGTAGTTCTTCAAGTGTCTTCCATAAAAATGTTAGAGTGGTTATGAATTCTTAAAATTCATGTGTATCATGGAACATTGATCTGTCTTAGTATTTGTAAAGGTCCTTAAAGAACTTACAGAATGAATCTTTCTGTCTCTCTGTCTCCCTCACTCTGTTTCTCTGACTTTCTCTCTCACATATAAGTATATATGGATTCACACAATTTATTAGAAAGTCTTCTAGGATGCAATCTAGCTAATCTAGCCATCACTAGGCATAAATTTCAATCCAAAATGTAGAAAATTCTCATTCTATGATGTGGAATGTGTGAGCTGATCTTCAGAAAACACTTAAATACCATAGATGGTTCTAATGCCAGTGAAGAAATGGACTTGCTAGAAAGATGAGAGAGAGCAAAGAACACAAGTTTCCTTTTTAAATGTCTTTATATAGGCTTCCA